CCCCCCCCCTCCCCCTCCCCTCCCCCCTTCCCGAAGCAAAGAAACCAAACATTCTTGAAGGTTTGGCTCCATCACCGTAGCACACACCCACCCTCCCCCTCCCCTCCCCCCCTCCCTCCCCTCCAACCCTAACCCTAACCCTAACCCAAGCACACCACCGAACCATGCCCGTTCCCCCCACCCCCCTACCCCTCTTGCTCCATCTCTTCTTCCCCTTGCCTACCTCATCTGCTTCAGTTGAGAGTGCGGTGTGGCTTGGTGGGGCTGGCGTTCAGAGTGTGGACGACCTGCGGAAGGGGAGGAGGGGGGGGGGGGGGAGGGGGGATCAGGATCACGGTCAGGAACAGACGAGGGAGGAGGGAAGGGGGGGGGGGAGGGGGGGAGGGGGGGGGAGGGGGAGGGAGAGTACCCCATGTCTGTTTGTGGGCGGTGAGAAAGATCGGAATAGGAATCGGGGGAGATCGGGACATGGGCCATGGGCCTCCGGGGGCTGGGAGGGTGTAGAGCTAGGATCGGGACCAGGAAGGGGGTGAGGGGGGCGGGAAAGGAGGGGAGAGGAGATAGGGGAAGGAAGCAGTGCGCGTGTGCTTGTGTCTGTGTCTGTGTGTGTGTGTTACGGTGAGCGGGATCGGTATCGGTATCGGTATCGGTATCGGTATCGGTATCGGTATCGGTATCGAGACCGGGATTGAGATCGGAATCGGGATCAGAATCAGGGGGGGAGGAGAGAGAGAGTACGTGTATATATATAAGTCACAAAGAGTGTTCATTGAAACCGCTAGCTGAGCTGAAGGACCACTGGGCCTGTGTCCCAGAGCTTTCGTGGCTGGGTGAGCAAGCCGCCGGACGAGCTACCGACGAACCCACGCCCTGCCTGCCAACACCACCTACCACGACTTTGACACTCCTCTGTCCGCAGGGTGAGGACCATGTCAAGCCAGCAGAGTGTGCAAGTACGTCCCTCCTTTCACTTTCCCTCCCCTTCCCCCTTTCCTTCTTCAATTCCCCCCCACCTCAACCCCTGTGTCCATGCCCCCCCCTTCTTCCCCCCCCCCCCCCACGACGACTTGCCCCGAATCAGGTTTACCCCAAACCCAAGCACAGGGGGGAGGGGAAGGGGAAGGGGGGGTACTAGGGTACTTGGGGGGTGATTGTGTACAAGCAAGAGTACCACACCATCTCCCCCTCCTCTCTCTCTCTCTCTCCCCCCCCCCCCTCCTCCTCCTGTCGTTGTCTCGTCCGTTCCTGGTGGGTGCCGACAGGCGACAAAAAGTGGTTGCGGCCGGTGATTCTGCCTGACCATGAGCCATGACCATGATCATGACTCTCTTGACCACCATCATGATCATGACCACCATCATGATGGACATCGCTAGTAGTAGCAGAAGAGTCTACATGCTTAGTCAAGGGAACGGGAGGAGACTGGGACTGTGGGCTTTGGCCGTGTCCGGGGGGGGGGGGGGGGGGGAGGATCACTTGGTGGCATCGGCGTGAGCCTGACTGGCTGGCTGGATGGTGGGATGGCTGGCTGGCTCCGGAATGCAGACCCATGTACCATTACATGGACAGCAACCGGTCACCAAAGGCCCTTGTCTTCATCATCAGATGGTATTCCTCGGAATGTATCGCTCTCCCTGTCTCCCATCACACCCCCCCCCCCATCCCGCTCCTGGCAATCACGTACACTCACTCACCCCTTATCTGTTACTGGTGTTGTAGACCTTGCGCAAAGGTGCTGTGCTTGAAGGTGTATTGTTCAAGGTCGGTTCAAAGCACCGCAACTGGCGGAAGCGAGTCTTTGTGCTGCGGCCGGATGGCATGTTGTACTACTTCAAGTCTGCCAAGTCCAAGGAGCCTGCCGGAGTGCTCCAGTGTGAGGGCTACCAGGTTGTCGACTACACGGGACGGAAGCATGGATTTGCACTTGAGAAGGCGCACGATCCATCTGCGCGGGTCTGGCTCTTTGCCGCGCTCTCGACGGCAGAGCAGGAGCGATGGATGCGCAAGCTGGCGGTGGCTGTCCTCGGCATCGAGTTTGGTGACCCACTGAACATGGAGGATCCACCGCTGGAGATCATTGTGGACGCGGTATACTCGTGGCTCGGTCCAATGCTTGCCGAGCGCAACGTGACAGTCTCACGCGTGGCCGACGACTTTTGCGATGGAGTCATCCTGCTGCACGTGATGGAGATCATCCGGTACCTCACTGCGGATGTCTTCCACTCGTCACCGCGGACACGGACGCAAAAGCTGGACAACCTGCGAACTGCACTCAACATGGCCGACGACATGCGTGTCCCGCGCGACCGGGCCGAGGTCTCTGCCGCCGCCATTGTCGACGGCCTGGTGTCGGAGGAGCAGCTTGTCCGGTACCTGTTTAGTGTGATGAAGCGGCAGCGCGAAATGTCGACGACGCTCTCCACCTCAGGCTCGTTGCTAGCGCTGCGCGATGGCAGCTCGCTGGCGTCGACAGCGCGTCTGGGCGCGCGGGCCGGGCTGTACCGGCCGGCGGTGCGGACGTCGATGGTCCAGTCAGCTGACATGGACGTGGAGGCGCTGGCGGCAGCAGTGACAAACGGCGATGCGGATGAAGCCTTTGGCAAGAACCTCGACGGCTCGGGTGACATCGGACCCGAGTACTCGATTTGCATTTCAGGGCCCGAGTGCGGCAAGTCGTCGCTGGTGACGAGGTGGATGACCGGGACGTACGACGACTCGGAGTTCCGCGACTACGATCCTACGCTCGAGGACTTTTCCTCGCACAAGGTCATGGTCGACGGCAACGTGGCGTCGTGCGCAGTGCTAGACACCTCGGGCGTGCTGACGAACCTGCCACTGGTGCGGTCGTCGTACGCCTCGTCATCAGTCTTTGTCCTCATGTACGCCATTCCCGACAGTGACTCGTTCCACGCCATGACTCGGTTCTTCGACGCCCTGCTCGAGGTCCACTTTGCCAAGGTTCACGGGCCAAAGCGCAAGTTCGCGGCCAAGGACGTGGTTATTCCGCCGCTGGTCATTGTGGGGCACAAAGTCGATCAGTGGCGGTCCCGCGGCTTGCCGCAGCGTGCCGCCCACAACTTTGCCGAGGCCATCCAGCGGCCATACCTCGAGGCGTCGGCGGCGAGTGACATCAACACCAAGGAGGTCTTTGCCTGGGCCATCCGCGAGTCGAACGTCTCCAAGGGCCAGCTCTGGGTCGACTCTCCAATGTACTACGATCCGGTGCCCGACGAGGCGCTTGTGCTCCCGTCGACCGACGACGTTATCTTCCGCCCGCCCGAGGACTTTGCCTTTCCCTCGGTCTCGTTTGCAACGCTCCGCGGCCTGATCGAGCAGATGGCCAATCCGCACTACATGAACATGTCGTTTGTGGAGTCGATGCTCATGGTCCTCGACCAGTTTGCCACCCCGCTCGAGGTCGCCACCCTCCTTGTTGCCCGCCTCAAAGACAAGTCGACCAAGTGGTCGGACGACTCGGGCGAGAACGCGCTGATGCGGACCACTGTTCGCATCCGCGTCTTCCGGGTCCTCTACACCTGGATTCGCTGGTTCCCGCACCTCTGGATCAAGAACAAGCCAATGATCACGCTCCTCGGCACCGCGGTCAAGATCCTCAAAAAGGCCAAGGGCTGCAAGTTTCCGTGGATCTTCCTCCGCCGAGTCCATAAGGAGATCAAGGACAAGTCGGCCGACGTGGCGTCGTTCAAGGCGACACTCGCCGAGATCGACGGCCCGCTGCCAGGTGCTCCGATGTGGATTGCCGCTGGGAGCGGCGCCAACCAGGAGGCCGACGCTTCGCTGTGGGAGCAAGACGGCTCTGGCTGGCGCTGCCCAGTCACTGGCGTGCTGATCCAGGGCTCGACCGCGCCACCACACGCCATCCGCTCGCCGCGCCTCGCTGCGCTCTGGGACGCCCTCGTACCGGTTCTCGACTCGCGGCTCGGCCGTGGCCAGGTTGTTGTGGCCAAGCCCGAGGCCGTCCGCTCAGGCTCGCTCCGCCGGCGAACGATCGTCACGTCGACTGCGCACTCGCTCGAGGAGCTGACCTCGTCGCTTCGGGGCATGCCGGCCGACGAGTCTGAAGCAGCTAACAGCGCACCGCAGGTCGCCGGCGGCCTCCTTGCGCTGGACGTGACGCTCGTGGCGCAGCAGCTGTGTCTCTTGCATCAGGTCCTCTTTCAGGCCGTCATGCCAACCGAGTGCTACAACTCGGCATGGAGCAAGGACGACGGCGCCGGCGCGCCCAACGTCAAGCGCCTCTCGTCTCAGTTCAACACGCTCGCTGGCTGGGTCGCCACCATGGTCGTCGCCGAGCTTGACTTCCACCGGCGAGTCGAGCTGGTCACCAAGCTCATTGACCTCGCCGAGCTTCTTGTCCGCTACCGCGACTATCACGGTGCTATGGCCGTCATTTCCGGCCTTGCCATGACCGGCGTGCAGCGGCTTGAGGCCACATGGACCGCTGTCGACGACGACCACTTGCGAGTCCTCAACCGCCTCAAGCAGACCGTCTCGGGCCGCGGCCAGTTCAAGGCCATTCGCAACATCCTTGCCCGTACCGAGGAGCCGTGCGTCCCGTACATCGGCATGTACCTCACCGACATCACCTTTTTCTGCGACGGCAATCCGGACCGTCACGGCTTTATCAATGTCTTCAAGTGGGAGTCGGTGGCCAACGTCGTCAAGCAGATTCTCCGCTTCCAGCAGCAGGTCTATCCGTTTGCGCCCAACGCCGCAGTCCTCACCTGGATCTGTGCGGGACGGCCCATCGACGCCGACGCCATCATCCAACTCTCGCTCCTTGCAGAAAAACCGGTCGAGGGTGCTACCATCCGCGCCGTCCACAAGAACCCGCCTCTGGCTACCGTCGAGGAAAACAGCGCGCTCAAGAGTATTGTCACCAAGCTCTCGCTCTACACCGAGTCACTTCTTTCCAAGCTCGGCCGCTCCGCCCCGGATCCGGCTATCACCGAGCTCCTCACCGCCGCCGCTATCATTCTCGACGATCCGTACTCGATCCCACTTAATGACAGCGGGCTTGACACCCTGCGCGACTCGTCCACCACCACCACCACCGACCGCGGCATCACCGACGGCGACATTTCGTCATCGGACGACGACGAGCCGAGTGACGACGTCTCCTCCGAATCGGGCCACATTGACGACGAGCTCGCCAAGCGCGATGCTCAGGACGAGGACGAGGATGGAAGCGAAGCAAAGCCGGAGGCAGAGCCAAAGGCTGGAACTTCGTTTGACGAGTGCTCAACTATCAACGCGGGCAAGGACACGGCTGATACACTCCCTATGCCGTCGGATGCCACCAACGGGACCCGGACCAAGTCCAAGAGAACCAAGTCGGCAAGAACCGCAAGTACGTGCACATCGTGCACATCATGCACATCATGCACATCATGCACATCCCGCGGCTCTGGTTCCGGCTACTCGTACAGCTCGACCTCTGGCTCCAGCTCCGGGAGCAGGAACGCCAAGTCGAGCAAAGGCTCAGATGCTGCGCCAAATGATGGCTCTGCCTCGGACCAAGCTGCTCCTGTCCCTGCCGCCAAAGACGACGACGCTCCTGCCCGCTCTACCCCTGCAAGCGACGTTACTGGCTACGCCAACATCTCTAACTCGTCGTCCGAGTAAAATCACATCCATACCAACAAACCTGCGCCCTGCACCCAATCCGATCCCCTTACTCCCATCCCCCCCCCCA